TGACAATTTTTTTTGTTTCTTTATTCGATTAGGTTTGAAACCGCCGACAGCGGTTGGAGTTCAGATGGCGATACGACTTGCACTTCTACAGACTCTCATGGAAGCTGTTCGGAGAAAACAGAGAAGTGTAAGTGATACTTAGTAAACCCAACTTTTTGGCTGTGATTTGAAAAAAAGCACCACGTTGCTTCCAGCTAAAGCATCTAATATGCCTGTACGATGGCGTTCAATTGTTACGGATGTATTTGATGGGTCCATTGAAAGCAGTGTTACCTGTCTAACGTGCAAAACGGTGTCTACTACAACGGAGACGTTCCAGGTAAAGAATCGAATACATGGCTAATGTTTGATGACTTAGTGTTTTTAGGATTTATCTTTACCAATCCCTTCATCCGAACACCTTTCACGAATTCGACACTGTGTGCCGGGTGAATCAGATGAGGAGTGCAGTATAAGTAGTGATTCGAGTGGGGGATATGGAGTATGTCTGATATCTTTTTGCTTTTGTAATTGATCTCAAATAAATGTTTTTTCCAGTGGATGCCTTGGTTCTCGTGGCTGCGGTCTTTCAGCAGCGTTTTTGTCACTCCGTCTGTATCGCTAGAGGATTGCCTTTCTGCCTTCTTTTCACCGGATCGGCTGGTTGGCGATGATATGTACTCCTGTGATCGCTGTAAAAAGTAAATTTAGTTGCCATTATACACTTCATGCAACATATCATCAAAAAGATGATGACTGAGAACATGTAAATCTCTGCTCAAACCTTGCATATTTTTGGTGCTTTCGTTCCTTTCAATCATTTGTGATGGGATTGATTTTCTAGATTATTTTTACGTAATTGCTGAGATATCGAAATTGTCAAAGTTTAATTGTAGATTGAGGAATGGTGTGAAAACATGTCGCATTAGTCGACTTCCGGAGGTCTTGTGCATTCATATCAAAAGGTTTAGACACGACTCGTATTGCAGTTCAAAGGTAACTGTGTTACATTCGCTTAGGCTCGAAATAATCAATTACTGTTATAGGTATCTACACGAGTTTCATTTCCTCTTGTTGAATTAGACTTGTCATCTTTTTCCTCGACTTCCGAAAAAGTTCCTCTTTACGATTTGACCGGTTTCATAACTCATGAAGGAAGTGGAGCAGATAGTGGTCATTATTTAGCTTATTGCCGGAATGAAGTGGACGGCAATTGGTTGGTTTGCATTATTTAGCGTAGTTGACATCCTTTCACTAAATATGCCTAAAACTTTAAC